AAACAAGAGTCTAAGCTCTGATACCAATTGTTATTCAAAAGACAACCTAAGAGGAGGGGTGAATTAGGTTTTTAAAAATAAAAACAATAATACCCTAATAAAAAGTATGACTAGCACAATAGATAAATATAGTTAATGAAGTAAAAATAATTAAAACAAGTATTCTAACAACTATGCCAATTAATGATTTTAGCACAATAAAAATATGAAATATACTATAGCAAATGAACATACAAGTGCCAATTTCCATGTATTCAATCTCAAAATGCTAGGATATAAGCATGCATGCATGATTTATGCTACAATTCAACATATAGAACCAATTCTAAACTTAGCTCTACAATATGACATGAACCATGCAAGAATCAATTCAAAACATAAGAATGAGAAGGTGAATCCCTACCTTAAGTTTCCATTGCAAGATCAAGGAGCTCAATTTGCAATCTACACTTCAATTCTACCAAGTTTCCAAGCCAATTAGAGATGAAATCACACTCTCTCCTAACTCTCTTTCTCTCTAGTTCGGTTGAGCTCAAGAAAAAGGGCTGAAGAAATGTTGTATCTAAGTGTAATATGAAGATCAAAGTGTTGTGATAGTGGGCCACTATTGTGGCAAAATGGTAAATATGCCAAACTAGTAATTTAGCTTTATTTAATCTAATTTAATCATACCAAATCGCATTTCAATTAAATCTACCATAAAATCACATAAATTCTAATTAGCATAAAATACCAATCAATTTCAAATTCGGCCGCCAATAAGGCCTTCAATTTACAGTTCGAAACTTAAAACATGAACAGATCGATCAAATGACAAACAGATAGAAATGCAAGTAAAGCAATATACTCTTGCAATCAATTCAGAATTTCAGCCAAATCAGTTACTTATCATTCTCAGTTATAGTTTAGCATTAATCAGAGGTGAGGGTTGTCACACTAGATCAACTGTATACATGAGTACTCATCATTATAGCTTGTATTTGGTCAACCATCAAATATTATTTATTTAGAATGTTTGGTTATGTTGTATATGTTTTTATTGCAAATGGGTCCTCAAACGTAAACTTGGAG